AAAATTAATCATACTTTTAATGTGTGATTCTTTCAACTCATATCCATTAAATTTTAAATTGACGAAATTTCTACCTATAATCTCTTATTAAAAGATTCCATGTTATTCCAAAGTTCTGTAAAATAAATCTCTAGATACTATTTACAGAGAAAAATAAATAATAAATGATGTATAATAAAGATTAGATATTTAATTGCATAAGTCTATGAATAAACACATTAAATTAAATGGCAAATTAATAATTTCTATCAAGATATTCATCAATGCTTATACGGTTACAACAATGTACGGTCAAGTGTAAAATAATATAATTCTAATATAAATTAGCTAATGGAAAGACAATAGTTTGAAAAAAATTTTAGAAATAGAACTCTGACCGTAATTTAATATGAATTTATATGACGAAAATTGTTAATTAGATTTTTCAAAAAAGGAATCAAAAATAAAAGTAGTAAAATTGGATTCTTCTTTAGAATATTTTTATAGGGTAAGCAAAGCTAAATTTTGGTAGCGCCTATTCATAACTTTTAAACATTACAACTTCCAAAAATTGATGTTGATTGTCACAAAATATGCTTTAAAACTATTTAGATTTTATGTAATATTCTATACGGAGAACACAATATAAAATCATTGTTAACATATACTTTTATATACTTTAATACTAAATTTTTTCTTCATTTAAAACAGAATGGTGGTTGGAATTTTAGATGTAGTCCTTCTTTTTTGAAATAGAAACAGATAGCGCTCGGTACATTTCGGTCTGCCGACCACCTAACTCATTAAGAGGAAGCCAGACAGTACTTTATTTAGAGTGAATGAAATGAAATCCTTTACGGACACAGGTCATCCATTGTGACTTTGAACCCGAACTTTGTTCAACTATTGAACATAAAGGAACAAAGATTCAAGAAAGATTATACTGAAAATGGTAACTATAAAATATCAGTTAATGTTGTTAATCATTTGTCTGAAATAACAATGCAAAGAATTTCTATAATTAGTAATAGTAAAAATAGATAACTTTATTTAATTTTTGATTTTGTTTGCAACTTAATATTCCTCTTTCGTTCGCTTTATTTTATAATTTATAAAAAATTTTTAGCTGTCAAGTTTTTGTTAGAAATGTTTAATATTTTCCACTAATTAAATACAGTAAAATAAATAATATTTATTTTTATTTTGAATCTTTTAAAAGTAAGCAAATAATTCTGAAAATTTAAAAATATCCTTTAATTGCCAATGAATTATCCTATTAAATGGCATTAGAAAAATACATTTTTATGTGTTTTATTTGAATAATTTGAAGTTGTGTTTTTTAAAATATGTAAATGAAATTTCCGGATTCTGTCAATTATTGAAGATATATGCAGAGTTTGACAGGTAATACGGTTTTCAAGAAAAAAGTAAATAATGAACGCATTGCTATTAAAATAACGATAACAATCTATTTGTTCTTTTTCGATATTATTATTGACATAAAAACTAGCAAAGAAATAAATCTTACTACGATATCTACAAGAAAGGAATTTTGTTCCTGGGCAAGTAGACATTATAATGAGCGTACCTGTGCTCCAGTATTGTTCGAGACTCCTTTACTAATCACAGAAACGTGACGTATCTATCCCTAGCGCTAATGGAGGACGTACAAACAAGATCTGACACTTCCCATCCTGCAACTCCATCACGTGCCCGAAATCTAGTCAGACCGGGTCCAGTGACAAGCGAGTCCACACCCTGACCAGCTGTTCAATATGCAGGACAAATCGTCTATCCCAAATTAGGAGAACAGACTCACCTCACTCTGTGTCATTTCAATGGACATAATTATTCTGTTTGTGAAGACTATTCGACGGATAAAAGGGGACCATCGAAGATTCTACCATTAGAGGTCATTCAACTCTATATTAAAACCTTTCTATATTTACAATTCTTAATATAATTTCCAAACCATCTCGAATTTAACTGTTTAGAAAAGTAAACAAACTAATGTTTAATTTTAGAAACAGTTAAATGGTGAAACTATGAAATGAAATGTACTTTTATTTCGTAATAAATTATAAGAATGTAATTTGTTTCGCAAGAGCACGGTTGTTATAAAATGAATTTTACAGGTAGTTTGTTTTGAAACTGATTAATTAGGCTATTAAATGAAATCTAGTCTCTTTCGAAATAGACTAGTCATAAAATGTAATTTGTTTTCAAATAGATTAATTATGAAAATGAAATCTCTACCGAAATACATTAGTTATAACACGAAATGCACTTTATTTTTTCACATAGATTAATTATACTATAAAATATTAATTGTTTGAAATGCATTAGTTATAAAAGTAATCTAGAACATAAAAATCCTGTTGATGTATTTATAAATTGCTTTATAAAACTACAGAAAGATCCCGATTTATAAACTTGTTTAGTTACAAAGATAATCTTTAATATCCGGCGCTAATTTATAACTCATCTGAAGAGGAAAAAATTAAATAAATTTATTATTTTCTTGCTAAAAACATTTTTAAAAATATAGGAATAAGACTAATAAAACTTTTAATTAATGGACTAGCACAATAACAAAGCTTATGAAAACTACAAAGATGCTGTTCATATGATTATAAATATTCATTTAATCAAGCATTGTTATATAAATATAAAATTTATATAACAATGCTTGATTAAATGAGTAAAGATACTGAAATCTTTCAAATATTACTTTTAGATATTAATCAAACTTTAGTAATGATTAATAATATAATAAAATTGTCATCGTTGTCTATAAACACGTTTTCATGTATCATCTTATGGACGACAATAAGCGTCCCAGTTGACCGGACGGGTGACTTCACGTGCGAGTGCAGTGACCCACAACAGCTAACGTAGTGGACTGGTCTACATTACATTAATAGTACAGTAGTTATGCCCAACTTTCCCACTAACGTGCAGTTTCAGTAAGCTACATGCTTACGATACTACTACCTTAACTGACTCCGTCTCACGAAGAAATCTTTGCAGGTTTATCTTTGCACATTCTTTCGGAGAAAATGTGCATAAAATTAGAGAAATTGAGAAAATTTTATGCGTTAAAACTAGAACAAGGATAGCCAGAAATGCATTTTGAATTGCTTAAGATAACACAGACTATCATTAGATTAGAAAGAAAAGTAAAGAATTTCAGATTAAAAGCTTAAGTTAAAGTATAACAAGTGAAGGTAATTCTGTACATAATATTGTGCTTAAATGTTTTTGTACAATAAACTAATTAACATTAACGCTACAAATAATTAGAATTTAATCACTTTAAGTCATCTAAATCCACTTTAAGTTTAATTTAAATAATTATATTATTAAAATCCAATGTAAATGTATTTATATCTTACATTTTCAAGAGGAAAAATTCAAATTTCAGAAGTCAATGGCATCACTTAAGTAGAATGTGAAATGATTTTGCAAAGTGGATTTGAAAAACACATGGCTGATGATTATTATACCATAAAGGCGGATGATTATTATATTCCTTATAGAGGCATAAATGATTTTTTTCAAAACACGAAGATTATTCTAAAAAGAACACGTCATGTGTTTGTTGGAAAAAGATTAGGCCCACAACGAAGAATCAACGTACAAGTGGTCTCAATAATACGCTGTTGTCTACTAACTGACATTCAACAATTTCTGGACTCATATCACCATCGAACGTGACATAAGGGCAATGTGAACTTTGTTATGCGAAGGAGTGCCTTGCTCGCTTTCGGCAAACATAAACGCTATTTTTCAAGTCGTTAGCAACCTTCCATATTATTACATTTCTACGCTGGCCGTGCCTCCTTCGGCATTCCGTCTTAACAACCAGCGCTAGGGTGAGGAGGTGGGTCTGAGTCCCAGGACCTTTTGATCTCACCCCCATATAGACACGTGCTCTCGACAATCACCGGGTCAAACACCTTCCAAGACTGTATATAGCCAGTCGAACTGAAATTACTATGCAACTTGTATCGTTCCCGTTGTTTATTGTTCTCGGTATTTTAACACCTGTTTAGAACGCATTAAGATGAGCTGCTTTCTATCAAATCTCGACAGAAAAAGAAAGAGTCGAGAACCTGTTTCCAGTGAAATTTTGGGACTGATTTGTTTAAGAAAAGATAAGCAACTGAAAATCTTTGCATAAATGTATTAATATAACGCCCATTAAAAAGTCTCGCACGTTATCTTATACTGAAACATTATTTATTTATGAGTTTTTGCCAAAAAATTGAAAACAGTTCTTTACTTTTTATACTTATAAAAAATGTATAAGTCTATTAACCATGCCTGTTCTGTGAGAAAGAGAAATAATACACTTTCTAAGCAAATTCTAATAACAAACTTAATTACAATTTAAAAACAAAAACAAGATAAATCATTATATTTCATGTAAATATAAACTTCTTTATCCCATGTTTTCTCCCTGTATCTATGTTAAAATTGCTGTAGAGTTTTGTAAAGTATTAAATGCAGAACAGATGTGATGTAATTAGCAATCTTACACTCGAACGAAGAAATCTTTATGGCGTTGCTTGTTATACATGCTTTACTTTGGGTCAAATCATTTAAATTGTACGATAAATGAAAATAATCTCAGGACTAGAATAAATGTAAATTAACCGAGTTTTGTCTAAGTAATCATTAAATAACTTTTATAGCCAAAAGCAATTTTACTTCCTCTCCGGAACGATGAGAAATGATCAGTCATCGCTCATGCATCACTCTTCGAGTAGGCAAAGTGGAAAATGATCTGTCAAGCTAAAAACCTTCTCAATGAATAGCGGTACGTTAGGCACGCAAAACACATAAAATTCAAATAAATATAGTAATAACTTATACGATTTATACATACGAGAATCATTATAGGTGCAACCTTCTACCACTTTAGAATAAATGCTAACTTAATTTATATAATCAGTATTTAGAATTTATCTTTTAAAATGCGGCTTTAAATTCAATAAGGGCATTCGTCATGATCTTACCTGTAATATCCAATTTTTCTAAATTATGGCATTTTGATACCAGTTCACTTATGCCAGCATTGGTTATATTTCCACATCCTCGAATTTCCAAGCATCTAAGTTCAGGACATCTTCGAGCAATAATAGATATTCCTGTATCAGTAAGCCTGGAACAACCGTTAAGTGTGATCTTCTCTACAGTTAGACAAACAGTGGGAGAATCTCTGCATAACAAACGGAACAATGTTTTCAGTCCGCGATCTACGTGTATTTTATCGCTATTTAAAGAAATATTCGTCCATAATTGAGGTTCCCATGCTAAAAAATACCACCTTCGACATACACGGGCACATACACAATGGTGATTACTACTGAGGTAGGAGAAAATCTTTAAGATCAGATCGTCCGGAAGCCGATCAAAGGGAGATGATCGCGGCGATTTTTTTCCTTTAAATTGAGCCGCTGGTATTTTTCCTGTAGTAGGAGCGAGCTGAGAACAATTAGGCATCTGTATTCTGTCCTGTGGTTGAGGATACGGGGAATCTCTACTAGATGAGGTTACATCCCACGTACTTCCAGAAGAGATTTCGAAAGGTCTTCTAGGTATAGTTGGTGTGTGGATAGGCGTCGAAGAAACACTAGGTCGAGTAAGAAGAGTGTGGTATCCCAGATCGTGTCCCGGCGATGTCCTTCCGCTGACATAACTGGACATGTCCGATTTAGGATTATAGGAAGCCCCGCAAGAAGAGAAATCGGAGAACAATTTGGAAGAATAGACACCATCAGCATCTATCTCACCGGAATCGATATTCTGACTATCAGTATAAAAATAATCCATCGTTGATTGTTGAAACAGGTAGATGATGATCCCCTTTACTAAGTGGGGATTAATTGAATATCGTGCACAAGGATGACACCAGATTCATAAACCCGAATTAGTTTCCTATTTGTCGCCACCATATTGTAAGAAAACTTGTTGGATTCCTGTAAAAGAAAAATATAATACAATTTAATTGCATGCCGAATTCAATACTGTGACGTAGACTGAATACTCAAAAATTTACAAGAAACTATTTTTATAAAAATTAACAAATTTTGAAGATTTCAATACAAATCATTCATTATATAAAAAATTGCATAAACATTTTAATAAGACTGTGTAATTTATAGAATAATTTTATTGACATCATGATGAGGTTAAATGCATAAAATTTGAAAATCTAATATTTCAACTCTTTAAAAATTAACATTTTATAAGATGTTTTACTATTATTTTAAAGCATTTTATATTACTCTGACGTTCCTTAACCTTTAACCACGGGTGGGCTACATTTCAATATCTATAGAGTAGGCCTACTCCAACAAGAGGACTTCAGAGAGAGAGAGAGAGAGAGAGAAGAATTCCCTGGGCTATTTTGATATTAAAATACAGCATTTCTATGTCATATTGTTTGAGCAAAAGTTATTATTCAAGAACTTTATTTTCTGAGAAGAGCCAAGAGCCATCGAAAACATCCCAAGGCCGCAGGTTGATGACTCTTGTATCATTTATCTAAAACATTTCACATTTCATATTGTTGGATTCCCTCATAAACAACATTTCAAAAAAAAGAAAGAGAAAAAAAAAGGAATATAAGAATTTTTCCTATCAAGACCTTGAAGACTAAAATAAAGTCTACTTTCAGCCATATTTAGTAAAATAACTTCCTACACAAAATAAACAATCCTTCTCCTCCTACTTTATCTATTAAACAACTATATCGAATTTTACGTATTGTTTCTTTATATTTACCTATATTATTAACTTTTAATTCAAAGATTTAATGATATTTAAACAGAAGTAATTAGCATTATATGCACTATTTAAGTCTAAGTTTTTTTTCTTTCTTAAACTAAATAGGACCCACCAGACTATTGTCTATTAAACTTTTTCTTGAGATAAGAGAAAAAGATTGAGCATTAACCCAGATTGGGAAATGAGAATAGTCCATTTAGAGCAATTGCCAGATATCAAAGAATGCCATTTCTTGATTTTTACCCTTCAGGTATTGCATACTATCTGTATAACGACAGCTCCATTACCTAGGGGTTCCCACAACCAAACAATTCCATGTGTGTTGCACGACTTGTATGATTAAAGAGTAAAGAAATCGTAGGCATGATTAATAAGACAATCACGTAGACCTTTTCTGTCGTTGTCAGATCAATGAAGCCTAGGCGATTTATCACTAGTTGATTTCACACACGCCCCCTACACGCAATTCGAAGAACACCGAACTTCTCTTGTCGGAAGGAAAGAAACTTCAAATTTACAATCATACACCCCTCTTATAATTTGTCTATCACATTATATTTACAGCTACGATATAGCACTAATTCTCAACTATTGATTATACAGAAACTCTTTTATGTGAGTTTATCCTCTTTAAAGATCATAAAATTCTGATCAATATTTTAAATTAAAATTCAACAAACTAATTATAAATGTACATAAAATTAAATAATAAAAGAAGTTTTAAGTTTTAATAATTAATAAGTGACAATTTGATGCTTAATGATGATGATAATCATCATAAAATCTGCAGGTTTATACATTAATTCTAATTCCTAATTAGAATCAATTTAATTATTAATAATTTTTTTGTAATTTGTCATTATGATTATTTAATAGGAAGCTTTAATAAATTTATTATTAAATATGATACATTTTTAATTTAAAAAAAAGTTTTCCTCTATCTACTTTAGACAAGAATTAAACTCATTAAAATTTAAATATTTATTCTATTTTAATATCTTAAAATACAATAATTAAAATTAAAATTTATAATGTTTTTGCATTTATTTGGGTAAAATATTTTTTAATAAATCCTACACGACACGAGTCAGGATACTTCAGAACGAACAATATGGCATGTGTTAACAATACTTCGGACTTGACAATACAGTATTTGAAAATGAAGAATTAAGAGACAGACGTAAATAAAATAATCATGCCAACTTCGATTTGTAACAAAGATCTAAAGAATGTCGCAAGGTGCGAACAATTCGTCACGAACGCACACTTGATAAACGGTTCAACTATTCCTTTAACTGCAACTTTAGTCACGCTACATCCATGTGCTATTAACGCCTATTGTTTCACTTGCCACACGTCTTGAGGCATTATTGTGGATAGACAAGCAGCGGTTATTGACTGAAGCGTATTTACGAAGACTGTAATGCACAAGAGACTTTCCTCATGAAGGAACATCTATTATCAATCCTGTCGTACTAAACTGATAGCCATACGAGAGACTATCGTCTCCTCCAGTATAACTGAAGAAATTTTGTCTAAGATGTACTTTTGCTTAATAAGAAGGAAGTAAAAATTACATTTTTTTAATTAAACTTTTAACGAACTTGTATTATAAAATTAAAATAATTTAAGTTTTTTTAAATTATTTTTTTATATTAAAATATATTTTTATATTATAAGATATTAACTATAGTTTTTTTTTATATATAAACAGTTTGATCTAGTTCAGTTATTAATAATACTAATACTGTTAAATAAAAAATAAATACATTAACAATCAAAATTTAATTTTATATTTAGGATATTTATCTAGGAAAAATTAAATTTATGTAAATATTTTATAACATTTATNTTTGGCCTTTCTTTCCCCACCTCTGTTTCTCCCCTGTCTGTCCACAACTTTTCGCTTGCAGCTTGCATAAACGGCACAGAAAACCAATTAAAATTACTTTATTGAAATCTTAAAAAAAATATATATGTATATAATAAATAAAAATCACTTAATACATAAAGAAGATAAAATATGTGATAATTTATCAAAATAAATTGACAGCATTGATAAAAGAGGAAAAAAAAGAAGCCTACTTACTCATAAGTCAGAGATCGTGAATGGAGGATTTCAGCTGAGTCTTGCGAAAATTCACTAATCCTCACAAATATTTTGATGTGTAGCTTTGCTTATACATTTGGATGTAATCTAAGATTGTTCGTGATTTAAAAATCTAAGAAAATTGACTAGATTGAAGTAAAACAAAGAAACAAATAATGTATGGAAATGTATAGTTTACTGAAAGATATATGTGGTGGACGAAAGATAAGAAATACCGTACAAGAAGATAGGGATTGAAGTGTTGCTACGACTTCTTTTCAAGTCCCGCCTCTTGTCTCAGCAAGACATCAGTAATTTTAAACTCCTCCTACAATGAGATGAGGAATGCGGGTTACCACGTGCAGTGACACCATGCAGGAGATGGCCATCTGGCCGACGACCTACAGACCGCAGAACATTGTCATTTGATTCACCGATGATAGGATAGTGATAAGCTTTGATGTGAAACGTTCTTCTTGTATCTAAGCCTACGGGAGTTCGTATGAAGTGGGAAGATAAAAATGCTTGGGACTTTCTATCACAATTTGTCTCTCGTACTTAGATAACATGGGAAATTTTAAAAAGCTTTTTAAGTGAAAAATATTCTTAAATGTAGATAGAGATTCGTGAATGCCATATAAATTATAGCCTAAAAATGGTAGAATTCAATTAAGATTATACAGGATTGTATATTAGATGTAAAGAAAATGAGAAATGAATCAATTTTATAAAGAATTTAAATGATATTTTTTGGTTCCTTGTTAAATAAACTGACTTTGATCAATTGGCTTGAATTTTTAATGAATTTCTTCCTGGAATTTCAGTAATTTTGAGTAATGATTCGATAATTTTCGGATCAATATAGGGTGAAATATATCATTCTTCCGAATTTAAAGAGAAAAATGACAGATATTTATTTATTTATATTGTTCTTCGAATAAACGGTTTCAAGTATTTTCTGTTTTAATATTAAAAAATACTCTAACTTGTTTCTACCCTTAAAAAAATGACTTTACAGAACCAAATATAGGGCCTAAATTTAACGTAATAAAATGGCATTTATCAACAGTTTTCAAGTTTTTTCTTAACTTTTTAAAATTAATTTGCTTAAATAAAAGCTACCAATAAAAATTATTCAGTTTTTGATTATAAAATATATCAAATATAATATTTAAATGATTGAATTTTAAAAAAATACCTTCAAATTAAAACACTTTTTACATTTCATTTAATGTCTTCTTTTTATTTTATTTTTATTTCAAAATAAATGACTTATTCTTATTATCGTTGCTTATTTCGAAAGCAAAAGCTCTATCATTTTCATATCTCAATCCAGGAATAAAAAGCTACTATAAGAAAATAAATAGAGAAGAATGGAGAGTAAACTATAGTATTTACAAAGGAATCTCGATTTAATAATGCATTTTGATCGTTATACGAGATAAGCATCCCAAAACCATCACAAAATGCCTCAAGAATGGAAGCAAGTTTCTATAATATCCTTATCATACTGTATGATCAAGGTTTGATCATAGTGTACATATTCTACACAATATGTTTCGGTGGGGATAACAAGCAATTGTGTAACGTCGGAGAATGTTGTTTATATTATTGTATCTTGATTCTAGCATTAACCTTTCAACGTACTCTTGAATGAACTTTATATTGATGCAAGCGCAGTTTCCTGCAGATAGAATTTAAATAGTCAACCACTGGAAAAATGACGATGGTATTTGAGCATGCGGAACATGAGTTACGGTGTAATGGATATTTTGATTAGTGAGATGATTATTACTTGCTTTTAAATTACAAAAATAAAAACTTAAATTATTACAAAAAAAAAAATATACAATGGGAATTATATTTACAGTTATATTAAGAAAAAAATTTTTAAAATAATTTTAAATATATAAAATGGAATGCTGATTTAATAATCTGATTTATTATTTTATCTTTAAAATGATTTTTAACATCGGTTTTCGTGTAGTTTCTATACAGTTTTATTAATTCATTTTACATGTTTTTGATTTTTATGTTTCGAGTTATTTACACAATGAGAAGATCCAGTATGGCCTAAACTTTAGGTTGGAGGTGAAATGAGAAGGTGTCAAAAGTAACCTCGTACAATACTATCTTGTATATCCGTACAAAGTCGTTCATCATTTTCAATCTCGATAACAACCTATTAACTTTCCTGCATCTTATAAGGGGCGTCATAGAACACGGATCCTATCTAATAATGTACCGTACCTTCTCCCAATGTTTTGTTTCTATCGCATTACATTGCTAAGCTAGTCTCTTCCTTTAGAAAATAAGATAAGAATAATTTTACTCTAGTAATTTATTTTATAATTAAGTTTTATATAGTATTTTTATAACAAAAAGATCTATATTTACAAAAGCTTTAAAGTCTACTATTAAATTTATACAGCAGTATTGAGTTTTTATCCTAGGAGATTAGAACGAAAGAGAAATTTTAAAATAAATAAACACAAGCAATGTAAGTTGAAAGGCGAGCCGATGATTTACTCTTCTAATATTGACAAAAGTAAGACAACAGAAAAGATGGTTCATCCACTCTCTACTGGATGCGTGTGACACTGCTATTCATTATCCGTAATTTCTTGCTATTTAGAGTACTATGTGATGGCGGCCATTCATCTTCCGATAGACCCTTGCAACCCTTTGCGCACACGCCCAAACCTGATAGAAACACCAGGGGTCATGATCCCTGCCATAAAATACTTTCCAAAAGGGGGTTACTTATCTTTTCTTTCTCGTCTCCTTCCCGATTGTCGTAATAGAAGATTGGGGAACGCAGTTGGGGAGTGAAAAGAAGTCAACTTCTGCCTCAGGAACTTCAAGCATTCCTACATAAGGGTCACGACCTGAAATCTGTCATCTAGTTGTTTTCTAGTGCTTCCTCTCTTCTAGTTTCATGGCTACTTTCTTATTTGATTTACTTTATATGATAGTTTTCCATCTTTGTCATCATATTTTGTAATTTAAGTTGTTATAAATAAGAATAATTACAAAAAATAAATGCTAAAAATTCAATATCCTCTCTTATTTTATCATTACTTTATTGCTTTAAATTTCTTAAAAAATATAAAATAAGTAACGAAGGAATACAATTTTTCACTTATAATTATATTATTTTGGAATTATATTGATATTAAATTTTTCAAATTTTAATTTGTTCATGGAAAATTATTCTTTCATCATCTTCACGAATGATTAAATTCAATGAACATGTTCTGACTTCAGATTAATAAATTATGCTACATGATCTTGTATATTTATTAACAGACTAAAACAGTTTGAAATGACCGAATCTAGGCCATAGTAAAAACAATTGTTATTATAACTTATTAATGAGTAAGTCAAAACTAAGATGAGGATTTGATTTCCTAGAGTCATGACCCCAATCAGTATGGGTCGATCGCATCAACAGTGCGGTGTGACTCGGACACTATTGTTCCCACGCTGAACACAAACAAGTGTCAAGACCTAAAGTATGGCTTAAAATTGAAGGTCTTTCATGAATGTTGTAGGCCTGTAATTGATTAAATCATTCTTAAAGTAATCATCTTAATGACTTTTAACTTACATTTATAACTTCTGCTTGTCTTGATAGAGCACATCAATTTATGCCCGGAATTTTCCCGAAACTTTTTTTTTATTAATTTTGGTTCTATGTAAAGTTATTAGCGACAGGATGCGTATGCAAAAGTATGCACAAATTATACTAGAGATAAATTTTGTGTTTTGCAATAATTCATAGTATATATATAAGGAATTAATTTATAAATAACATGTATAAGAATTTTGCAATCACAGATGTGAATATTTTGCTTCTAAAATATTTTAAAATCCTGACGTAAGTTCTAATCCTATTTTTTGCGGATAAAATAGGATACAAACAACAAAATAATCAAGGATAATATATGAAAATAGGATTCCTATTATATACCATAGCAAATCTGATTAGATCTACTTTATGACTAATTAAACACAATAGGCTATTAAATTTAGTAATAGAATTTAAAACAAGTTTTAATCTAATCGATATGAATATGAGCCGAAGGTCTCAGTTATTAGAATTTCAATTTATTTATTTGTGGGAATTAAATATTTCCTGCTAAAATAAAGATTGTAAGAACTGACAATAGAAAATCTTAATTTATGGTAAAATTAATACGATTATACGAGATAAAAGTAATGATTTTGTGACACCAAACAGTTAAAAAAATAAGAAAAACAAGTAGTAAAGCAAGCTGTAAAAAACTATTAAATAATTTTTATTCTTAACAATATAGATTCTTGGCATTGTTATAACCATCTAAATCAACTCGGAATATTACATCCTATAAAGTAAGAACTACCGTAAAATATACCATAATAAAAACATTTATGGCGTGCTTTCCATCTGGTCTCTTTTGTAGTTGTGTTTGTGTGGAGTAACAGCGCAAGTATCAATCAGTAGCTTGCAAACAGAATGCAGGTGGCTTGCTCAATAAACATTGCACTACTGCTAATATAACCAGATTTGTCCGTTAATTCTTGACGCCCGTACTGCCTAACATAAATAACTTTAGTCATACCAAGACGGGTGCGACCCTACATGTCTGTTCACTTCCCCGCTGAGATCATCCTCCAACCGCTGTAAAACGGGTTTTAGCAGACATGCACTCTTACTGTACAAGGCACGTCTGTATTTTACAGCAAAGTTTCTTTCCGTACATTATGTGCTATTATTCTTATGGCAGACATTCTTGGAAGTGAAGGCTGCTTGAGTAGTCTACTGAAATGCTGTTTATCTTCCATCTGAAAACTTTTGCATACTTCTTTCATATTCTTCTTCTCGCTATAACTATTTTGTCAAGTTCTATTGTCAAGCCTTTTTGTCAAGAATTTGTCGTCTTTTTTTGTCAAGTCTTTAGTGAAGTCTTTTATTGACTTACAAAAAGCTTTTATCGATTTACAAAAGCTTTTATCGTATAAAATTACTCATTTTTTCGATTCTATTTTACTTAAATTACTTATCGGCTCCAATATTTTATTATTATTAATGTAATTCAATAATACTTCTTACAATTTTCTATCCATCCTTTTAAGTGAAAAGGGAACGATATGCAAATTTCCACCAATATAGGCCTATTATTAAAGATAACAATTTTTTTTACACGAATATCTTCGTTGGGATCACTAAAATCTATGGTAAATGTTAATAAAACGTTTATTTACTGATCAAAATCGAGTTATCAAGTAAGGAAAAGAATGTTTTCACATCTTAACAAGAAGCTCGATCACAGTAATTTTCTACCCCATTGAGATCAGCACGCGTCACCTGAGTTTAAAAATAGCACGTTGCCCACTACAACATAACGTGTTCTTAATATTATATAAGTCTAATTCCCTCATAATTTATAGAATATAATATACTAACGTAAATAAAACGTAAATTTATTTTAAGAAATAACATTTTTTAACGATATAATTAGATATTAATAATGAATAGATAAAAATAGAAATACGAAGAATTTTTTAAAAATTATTAGCATTTTATCTCAATAAATATTTAATTAAAATTAAATTTAATTACCATTTATATTAAACAAGTTTAGAAGTCATAAATGCACTTTTAATTGTTTAAAAAAAAATTGTTAAGTAATAAAACTCTTATTTTAAGTTCTAAAATATTAAGATTATTTTAAGATTAAATTTAAAAAATTATTTCAAAAAAATAATAACCTCTGATCATTTTTTAAAAATTTAATTTACACTATAACTTTTAAAAAATGCTATTATTTTAGATAATAAAATTGAAAAAATAGCTTTTGGTGAATTGATATAATTGGATTATCAGTAATTAAAAGAAAATAAAGCATAATTAATTAACTTTATTCACATTTTAAATTATTATTAATTTTTTAATATATAAAAGGCTTCTGTTCTCCTTTAAAAAATGAAAATAATAAGTAGAAATGATTAATTTTTTTAATAATCCAGAGGCAAAATTTCTGGTTAGTTTTATTAGATCAGCTTTACTGCACGAATAAATTCTAACATAATGCGCATTGATAAGTTATACCTGTAATTCCAGCAGGTGGTCTAAAAAAGCACAGATCTGCATCAGATGCTAAGTAAAAGATGTAAGTCTAGTCTGGATGATGAGTTAGAAAAGAGTATAAGATTTATAAATTGTTGTGCCGCTTGACTTAGGAGAAAAAAAAGAAGAGAAAAAAGAAACCAATATTAAAGGTAGATGATAAAAAAAATTAACTTACACTTCAGCTTTAATCCCACGCAAAGAGATGGGACGAAATTCCAAAGAGATATATTTCTTGTCACATACAACGACCCTGACATTCGATGTTTACGATCTATCCCTAGAAGGCTGATCCCAATGTGGACCCCAGGCCCCCTGTAGGATATAGGAATATTTACGGTACAGTGCAAAAATCTCGTGCCTATATTTTCCACTGATATTATCAAAAGATAAATGTAAATCGTGAGTTTCCACTATAATAAAATAAAACTCGTGTAAGAAAAATCAGTTAAAAGCATTATGCCATATCCTAGTTAAGAGGATAATAAAGTGAATTCCGTTCTTCTGTTATTTTCATATTTATGCTTATTAGTGGTAGAAAGTAGTGAATACTTTTTTCATTTATACAAGGAATACTTTAATTGCATTTAAACAACTGGTTTTTCAGCAATAAAAATAATATTAAACTATTCTGTAGCAAAGTATTCGTTAGGGTAGTCATTAGTTTTAATATAAAGTCATGATATTCTAACATACTTCCCCCTCCTTTAAATATTTTATATGGGCATTACGTAGGCTAGAACACGAGTTCCTCTTAATTTATATTCAAGAATTGACTTCGTTCGATGCCAAGAAATGCTTCGTTTCGAGAATGTTGCACGTAATTAGATATATCATCCTTTATTCAGTCGGAATAGGACTTAAATAAATCGACCTAACATACTTATCTTGCGTGATCACACTCAATGAAGACGAAACACTATTAACATCAATAACAGGAGAAATTATTTTGCTACCGAAGCAGCAGAAATAACAGCAAATTTTTTTCTTGGTCGAGGAAGTAGCGATTTCAATTCCCAAGCATAATTGCCACGATACAGAAGAATTATCCGGGATGCCATAAGTTTGATATTAATATAGAATTATCTATCATGCCATATTTTGATCGATAGAGTAAAAGTTTAAAATCTGATATTCAAAAATCGTGATAGTTAGATTAAAGATGCTGGTAGCGAAAACAATAAAAGGAATTGATCTATAAGATACTTCCCTATCATCTTACCACGCTGCTAAACATTGAAAGAAATGCTAAGTAGTCGACGTTGTTGGATTATTTCTCTTACGACTGTTTAAATAATCGACTTTATTAAACAACCGACACGTACGTTACGTATTGAACTTTCGACTAATTCTAATTAACAGACAAAACATCGACACTTACCAGATTAGAAGTGCAGGAATTTATGGAGCAACCAACAAATGCAACCTTGTCGTAAAATGCAAGCAATACTAGTCAGTTGCATGGGACGAGGCTAGCTAAAGGGACGTGCTGGATAGAGAGAACAGGTTTGGCCTTTCTTTCCCCACCTCTGTTTCTCCCCTGTCTGTCCACAACTTTTCGCTTGCAGCTTGCATAAACGGCACCGCTTTGACGGTAGTTTTGTGGCAGTCCGACAGAAAGGCGTTCGTTCTCGAACCACTTTATCCAACACACTCGAGCTTATTGCAAAGTTTCACGCGACTTAAATTCGCGGTAGCTAATATTCTAAGAAATTTTACAACAGGTGAAGAATCATTTTCCTCTTTTCAGTATTTAAAAATCATTCTTCAGCGATGACTCTTTTTTACCTACCTTTTTTTGTAACTCTTATCTTTCCGACTATGAAAGAATGTGCACTTTAGAACTATAGAAAATTATAAATTACTTGTAAAAAGAAAAAAAATATTAAATTACAAAAGTATCTTTATACATTAAATATTATAAAATAAGCAGAATTATGCCTCTAGTACGAAAATCATTCATGAATATCTTATTAAGGGAGGGGGGAAAATGTAATGTAATTCAGTAAAAAAATTCTTCACGTCATTAAAAATATTATCATCTCGTTGACTTTTTGTATAAAAATGTTAAAAAACTTGGATAATTTAATGCATAATCTTCAATACTAAGGTTCAGTTACAACATAAATACGATAAAAATTTTACAGATAATAATAACCATATAGAGAATATTAAAATAGAAAAATTCGTGTTTAGAAATTTAATAGTTGATAAAATTGAATTATTCGAATAGATGTCGATATTATCTTTTTACGGAATTCGTTTTGTAGTCAAACTGCTTAAACGAACAAATTTACGGTTTGAAAAAGCATTCTATATGAAGATAGAAAACAGCTTCACCCGTCATTCATGCTATGTTTGCGTTGATTCTATATGCAAAGAAACTCGTCCAGTCAGATTCTGCTTGTCATGCCCAAAGGGCAACCAACACATCATTGGACTCTGCTCACCTAAGCCACAGAGCTTTTTTCTTCACGTTTTCTCTTATTCTCCCGAAATAACTTTCTACCTGGAAGGTTGTTACTTAAAATATTTTTTTAATGTTTAATTTAAATATCAGGTAGGCTTTTATTTATGCGTTGTCATATAGTTAGTTGATTAAATCTGATAAACTATTCATCTAAGAATTTTAAATTATTGCAGTTGAACTTTCATAAAATGAATAAATTTAAACATCTAAAATACTTTACGACCCGGTTGCAGAAAAAAATTACATACCTTGTAACTATAATATATTTATACAACACGCCAAATGTCTTGTTTTATGCATAATATTTAAACTGGAATTAATTTTTATACATATATATATAAAATATAAAATAAATAAATTTATAGGAAAAAAATTAAGAGATTAAAATCGATTTCTTGTTTCTGGAAGATGGCGTTAAAAATAAGATATAATTTACTTATTTTTTTCACTTTTTAAGTGATTGATTTTGTTTTCATTAACGTAGAATCTCGTTAAGAAGATTGGGAAAACTGTAAGAACCAGATGAAAGGATGCCCTAAGGAGAAGCCTGAACGTTGTGGGAGTAAAGTAGAATGGATGAAAAGGAACTAGCAAAAGAATACAATGAATGGGAAGAACTATCAAAAGCTTCGTCTTAAAAAACTATATGATAAAAAATAAAACGGATTCTCATTAATTCAGCTTACATAGTTCTTTATTGTATACTTACATATATATAAAATCTCATTCTAAATATCTTTTTTTTAATCAGAAACATTTAATTTAGTAGTTTCTATAAAGATAAAGTTTATCTTTCCAATGACTCTACCTTTAAATGTAATCCCAGAAAGCATGTCTTAAAATTTATTTTATGTCTATAAGATTAATAAAGATTCTTGTATGATTTGTTTATGGGTCTTTATAGTAATTATTTTGGGTATTAAAAATGTAATGCCATAGTTTTATGATATAAATTATGTTAAAAATTAATTAATTTTACATTATTATTTTATAATTAGCCTTTATTAACCTTCAGAAAATAACATTTTAAGTTGCCTAAATTTCTCTCCATCATTATAAGTATGTTTGTTCTATAAAAGACTATTAAAAATAATTTAACTTTTTTTATATTTTTAATTTTTATCCTGTTTTTTTTTAAATCGTAATGAACTGATTGTATTTGTTTTACACGAAATGGGCCTAAGACAATTTAAAATGTGTCATTTCAGAAAAAATGACATTCTTTAATGATCATTTCAAAAATAACGAGGTATTGAAAAAATAAAGTAAAATGCAATTAGATTATTTCTATCGGGAATACTCGAAAATAGAACATTTTAACAATTTAAAAAAAAAAGTTATGACACGTTGACAGTCACCTAATAAGACAAATTTGAATTGGTCAATAGTTTAACAATGGTTCTTATAAACTTTACTCATTAATTTACGAATGTTCGACGTGTCCCACTTTATATTATTTTCACGGAGAGGTATTGAATTCGAATTTTCTTTTGATTAATTTCATCCATTGCTCTCTTTCTTCCCGTTTAATTAAACTAAATTTTATATGAATCAGGCAATATTTCTCCTTTTTAAGTTAAAAAGGAACATATTCTTCTCGATTAACCATTGAAAAAATTATAACTATATTATTTAATGTTTTAGTAAGTTAAAAAGTCGTACGGTTTGTTTCCGGAAGTCGTAGAAAAAGAAACAAATGTGAAGTTAATGATATGCATTTTTAAGTGTTAACGTTTCGTAATATATTTTTAAATTTCAGACATTGTCTTCCTTCTATTGCATCAACAATAAAGCCATTGTTTGCTTTTATAGTTGAAGTTTCTTTGAGGATATATGCAACTGAGATTATACTTCACCACCTAATTTGGAAGATAACCTGCCTGGTAGCTCAGTAAGCAATCTGACAGGTTATATAAAGCTGGATTTTCTTAAATACTTATATTAATACCTAAATAATCTTCTTAAATTATCGATATATTTAATTTTATATTTTATTTCTTAATTTATTTTGATTAAATTGTATCGATGTAAGCAACCATCGAGATTCGTGACTACTTCCTACATAATAACATAATTTAGATTCTACGGATAATTATACAAGATAAAATGCGGAATCGATTCAAATATCTTCCTAGTAATATTCTATACAACTCAATCCATAAATTTAATTGTATTTGATATTACACACGCGTAGTGATGATGTTGAAAGGAAATATTATTGAATTGATAAGCTTATATGAAACATTTTATGCATTTCAAATAGTGTACAAGAAGTATTTTTTTGTTGATCTAGACGTCAAGTAAAAATATTTGTGTCATCAAACAAGAACTGTAAATTCTTACGTTCCACTTGAACTGAAATTTTAACACGAATCAGTTCAAGTTGACGTCACGAACTAGAATTTCAACTTTGATCTTTCTTACCAGTTTGATTCAACTAACAGACAAATTATAATACTCTGTACGTCACTGGGCCACTCTTGAGCATTAATTTTAGACTTATTCTTAGGATCTTTTTTCGAACAAGAATTTAAAACCAGTTTAAAGCTTTAAATCCTTTTTTCTTCCTTCTTTTTTTCTTCTTTCAAATTCACGGGAACGAAATAATTAAATAGATAAATCTTTATTCAATAATAAAGTATTTTAAATATATAACCTTTATGTTAAAAGTTGCATATATTTAATGAAAAATGCGCGATTTTTCCCCCTTACAATAAAGAGGAAACTGCATCCTCTGAAATTCTTGGATAATTAACTACAATAATTACAGTAGCAACTGGTTATTAAAATATCAAATTACCACTAAAATACAGTTTTAAAAATGTAGATAATTATTTTTACGTTCATTAGTTTTAAAAACCGCGACTATTATTACTGGTCGAGCATCACGTCGAACATCAAACTAGGTCATAATTGAGGGGCAGGTCAGTGATTTCATCTCACACCTTTCATCCCACATCTCCACCCACATAGATGTCGACAAGCGACATCACCATTGTGCATGACAATCCATTGTTTGATGTAATGACAATCGACTTCAACTATCATTATACATTCGACTTAAGCTTTGATGATTGCACTTTAAAAGCATCGATTTTTACATCTTATGACTTTTTCTTTCTGTTGAAAAGTGGGGATCAAGTTTTGCATTCTATTCATTAATTTTATCAATATAATAATGCTAATAAAACCTCAAACAATGGGGTCATGTGAGACTAACATATATGTTATTATAGAGAAACCTGATTTTAATCATTTATGCATTTAATAACCTATTTAGAATTACACCCACTCGCATACAATACAGTATAGATTAGATTTATTTTTATCAAAATTACAAGATTTTGTACTACTGTAATAAATTTAGCATTGAAAATGGTTTATATTTATAACAAGAAACAACCCGATACAACATAAAAACCAATGCATAAATTAGCCTTAACACAATCTATATAGGAAGAATTAATGCTTTCTGAACTAGGGAGAGAATGTTTAAAATCTTAATTTTCCTTAAGTAAACTGATAATGATATTAATCATTTTCATAAAATGATAAATTATCTTCGTTTATATAAATATGCAAAGTTTGTTTCCCTCACAGAATACCTAATATTAAAATGCAACTCATGAGAACATATTTTAAATATTTTATACATAATAAACACACAAGCTGGATATAGAATCTTTATCATTTAAAATAACCTGTAATATTAATTTAATACCTGCTACAATCTCTTTATAAGTAGTATTTAATATAACTCTTTTAATTTTTAATATTAATAAATTAAAAATGTTTAGATAAATATAAATAACTTAACACAGTTAATAGTGATCAATTTGAATATATTATTTTAAGATGAATA